AACGGCTGGACCGATTTGGTTCATATTTGGAATATATGTCAGTACCTTAAAAGTAAATATTCATACCGAAAATTTTCTCGCTAGGTGGGGCTGGGGTCGAGATATTCGCAAAAATTGCATTCACTTGCCGATTTGGCTTATATTTAGAACACATGTTTGCCAATTGAAAATAAATATTTGGACTAAAAACTTACACGATAATTGGCTCTGGGGTTGCAATATTCCTAAAATTCTTATATACTGGGAGAATAATAGATATGTCCACATATACATGTTCACAATACAATGTTGAAACCAACTACGCTTGACACGGATGCATAAATTGTAAATACCCTACTTATTAGTGGTAGGCATTGGAAGAGGGGGCGTGACACCTCCCATACAGACTGAACTTCTCACATCGCTTATCTCTGGAACCGCTTATGCTAACGTCCTGAAATTTGACACAGCTACATATCGCACACCGTTTTCAAAACAGTCACAAACTCGTCAACCGATTTCGATAATTCTTTTTGCATCGGAAAGGTAGTGTCTCAGAGCTGGTCCCATACTTATCTGGTTTAGATGCGATCATTAGATCATGAGATATATATATATATATATATATACATATATATATATTATATGAGAATGGAAGTCGTTTTTTTTTTGCTAAAAATTACTTGTTTTTTATATTTTGGACAGAGTTTGAAATTTTATGGCCTTATTCATAAAAAATAAAGTAGTCTTATAAAAGGTTTATAAATTGAAAAATGTATGAAAACGTCAATTTATAAAGCTCTTTAAACCTACTTTATTTTTTATGAATAAGGCCATTAGTTTTTATAAGTTTCGCGGTAGATTGTCCTATCTACTTACATACCAGCATATATACATAAAGTGGTAGCTGTTTTTGTTTTTCGCACTAAACTCAAAAACCACTGGATAGAGTTCAGTCAAATTGTCGGAGGTTATACCTTTCACATACATAACAGAGACATTATTTTTCATATCGGACACCAAATTTGGTGTCACATTTTCGATTGGCTTCAAATTTTTGTATGGGTTCTATACATTAAATAAGCTAACACGTGTTCGAGGAATTTTTTTTCGCTTTTTTCTTTGGAGATATGATCTGTCAAAGTTTGCATTTTTTCGTGATTCTAACTAATCATGTACTCCTTCAAATCGCTACATCTCGGGTTCAGCCCATCGTAGAGACTTCATCTTCACGACGTTTTGAAGCTAAAGAAACGGGAAGTTGTGGAACAAATGTTGTTAACGAAGCGATATTCTGTCGAAATCCGCAATAAAATCTGCATTTTGCTAATTTTAGTCCTACAATTGCCTTAAAGAAAAATCTTGCCGTACAAATATTATACCTGGATGGGTATTCTATCGGAATCTGCAATAAAATTTAAATTCTCGCAAAAACTCGATGTTTAACACCTTACTAAATATATCTCAACATAAGTTTTCGAAAACAAATAACAAAAAATTTTTGATTCCCACAAAATAAACAATATCGTCATAAAGAAAAATATTTGAAAAATAGTTCTTGAAAAACCCCCCCCTTTTTAACCACGTTTTTTTATAGAGAATTAAACAAAGATTACGATGGTAAAATTTTAAATCCCTAATTTACTGGTATTCACTATGCAAATAAACTTCAAAAAGTTCAACTGTTAATAGCTAAGTTAGCTTTAGGACAATCTTGACCATCTTACATAAATCTTAAGCCCCTTTCTTAGCTTTAAAATGACGTTAAGATGCTACGATCAGCAGAAGCCGAGATATAACGATTTGAAGAAGTACATGATTAGTCAGAATCAAACTTTGCAAACTTTGACATATCATATCTCCGGAGAAAAAAAGAAGAAAAAAATTCCTCGAACACGTGATAGCTTATTTCATGTATAGAACCCACAAAAGCGAATCGGAGACATTACATAATTTTTCTTAGGAAATCCGTCCGACTTAAAAAAGAATGGCTCAACTATGGTCCTATTATAGAATAACTACTAGAAAACTCGCTTGGTAGCACTGGAGTGGAGTCATTTATAAGGGCCGTTTTCTCATCTAACCTTTAGTTTACCGGCCACTTTATTGTCTCGATAAATGAGTTTTCGTTTTCTCATCAGCGCATTAATTTCGTGAATCGATAAATTGTTGCTCAGCCGATACAACCTTTCAAAATGTGTTCCCAACTTTAAACTGTGGTTTGGTTTTGGTTCATGAGTCAGATATATTAGATATTTCCACCAAGGTTTTGGTTTTTGGTAACAGTTACTCTTTCTCTATGTTTGCTTATGTTTGATTGCCAACCTTTGAAATTTTATGACGAATGTAGTGAAGTTTCACTCTCGCAAATGTAGTGAAGTTTCACTCTACGGAATAACAAATTTATTTTTAGCGATAAGGTAAGAAAACGATAACACTTTAAAGTGAGGAACAAATTATCAGCCCTGTTAGTAAAGGCAACTTTACTGCTTACATTAGAAAACGGCCCTAAGAGTCATATTTATTGACCGATTTATTTCAAATTCGCAATGTGAGCCACTTGTACGATGAATTCGTTTGCTAAAAATGGACCCGCTGGGTGGCCCTGGAGTCTAGATATTTAGAAAATCCTTATTTTTAAAAACCTGGCTGAAATTCATAATGCATATTCATTTCATGATAAGCAATGGTTTTGCAGAAAAGGGGCCCAAGGATAGCGCTGCAGCCGTAATATATAGAAACCCCATGTGTTTGACCTGCTTTGGCCCTATATTTATTTTATACGAATTTACTTTTCAGATGGCTAAATGAAATTGTGTAAGCGCACCTTTGTCTGACGCCCTCATACACTCTTAATACGATCTTGCATTTACCTCCGAATAACGAAATTGCTCGTGGCGGCCGTTATTGCAGCAGTAAGACTCAAAGAAACCAGTTGATAAATATTAAGACGAATTGTAAAAGTGGCGAATTGACAAGGAAAGATTCGACCACAACCGTCCAAGAAGGAACACGGTTGGTATATCAATTGTTTCATTTGAACTATATTCAAGATATCACACGATTCATTTAGCCAACGTACGGAAAAACTTTTCATCCTGTGGGGCAGAAAGGATTCTTGGCCTTCCTATAACAGAAAACGCTCACCTGTGCTGTTAGGTTTCCTTATAAGGACTTTTATTGGCTTACGAATCGGACCAGTGTTGTAGTTGCAATGTCAAAGAGAACTATGCACGCTCGGCAGAGATTTCACAGGTGGAAATAAGACCATCGGCAAAGCTCATGGCATCGAAAGGGACTAGTATTCCATATGGCATCAAAGCGCTACTATTTTTGGCCTATGTTTGAGGAGGATTCAGCTCTTAAGTTGTTTCAATTTTGTAACTTTACAGACATTTTTTCCTATAAAAAAATGTTTTTGCATTGACCCACCCAAAGGTTCTTATCAGGCGCCGCGAAGCAAGCGGGCATTGGCTAGTCTTACAGCCTTATTCTGTATCACGAACGATAGGCAACACGAACGATTCGTCTGCTGAGGAATGCTTCAAGAATTAGTCCGGCGGCATCATTTTAGCCGGTTTTAATGCAACCGAGACCATTGCAACCTAATGTATGAAAAGCAAGACGAAGACGACCGATAGAGTTTAAAATCGCAATCAGAGAGGTTGTCGTCTGCAGACGAATCGTTCGTTTTGCCTATCGTTCGTGATACAGAATAAAAAAATCGGATAGGGTTGCCACCATTCGAAAAATAAGCTTATATATAGAAATGGATTGCTTTCATGTGTTCATCACTCAAGCTCAACGGACTTGCTTCGTTTTTATTTCATTTTGTGACCTTCTGTCCGTAGAATATCAATATTTTTCGATCGGAAAACTTGGTTTCTCTTTTGGATATTATCAATAATATTACTCAATTGTTTATTTAACCACTTTATATTGTTAACTATTTCTTGTAGGACCACTAAAACCCTCAAAAAAAATGCAATGGGGGACCCATAAAAATTCGCTATTATTAGAAATCGTAAAGTAAACAATTGGGTGTAATTATTGGCAGTATCTTAAAGAGAAGCAATGCTTTCCTATCAACAAATATTTATTTAATAATTCTATACCATTTTTACGAAAACTTGTTTTTACCCCATATCAAAACACGGAAAATTTTGAGCGCTTTGATCGACCTCTAAATATTTTTTTATATAAAAAGAAGGTATAACTTTTTCGGTATCATTCATTTTATTTAACCCTGCTTATAAACTGTATGTTTTTAGTAGGCTTTCTAATAGTTACATTTGAGGTTACATGTTTGAGAATTACACAATTATTGAAAAATATACTAAAAGTGAAAGTACTTAAAAAGGTATTTGAGAAAATGACATTAGTTTACACAATTTATTCATTTAATATGTTTGTTACGTCGGGTGCAAAATAAAAAAACCGTACTTTCAGTGTGTTGAAAATTCACTAAAATCTGTAAATTTATTAATCATTCGTTTACAAATTGTTATAATTATAAGGCAAATGATCTGAGTCTTACACTTGTGTTTAGCTTAACACCCGATCGCTTGTAAGATTTCAATATTTAGTATTTTAAGTTTAATTTAATAAAATATATTCAAGAAAAAGAAAGACAACCGAACTTTTCTTCTGTTTGCCGCAACTGCAAATTGAACGTGTTGAAAAGTACGAGTAATCAAAATGAGTTACATGAGAGCGCAATTGCTTTGACAGCGAAGAGGAATATAGATAGAGCGAAATTCGCCTGAGCTCCAGGGATGCCATCTCTTAAAGCGTTGGGGATAAAAAGCGGCGCAATATGTTTAAAGGCGGCGTAACATATCCCCCTCCGTAAACCTTGTGCAGCTCTATGTGCAATGTTTACCCTTTACGTCCAGTTTTGCGATTTTGACAGCAGGTCGAGTGAACAGTCCTGCTGCAGTTTTTACGACAGCGCTTCGTACTTGCCCGTCCTTGGAACGGTGAATGTCGATGACCACGCCTTTTGGCCAAGTATTCCTTCTCTAATTATCATCTGCGATTACAACCACGTCGTCGATAGCGATGGGGTCGGGTGACTTTTGGAACGACTTAGCTCGTCTGGTTAGACATGGTAGATACTCACGAACCCACCGCTTCCAAAACTGGTCCGAAATTTGACTGGTTATTCGAAAGTTCTTACCCAAAACTGCCCCGGTAGTACTCTGCTCGTTTCGTTCTCGTATTCCATTAGAATCACCAAGCAGAAAATGGTTTGGTGTTAGTGCTTCCATTTCCGGATAATCTATTGGCACATAGGTCAGTGGACGAGAATTCAATATGTACTCGATGTCAGCCAGAGAAGCACGGAGCACCTCTTCGCGAACATTTACCTTTGGAAGGATGTCCATAAAAATGGATTTAATCGAGCGAACCATGCGCTCCCAAACGCATCCCATATGAGGCGATGCCGGTGGAATAAAGTGCCACTTCACTTCAGGATGTCGACGCTCCAGCTCACCAGATATCATTCGCTCCATTTCATTTTTCAGTATCCGGCTAGAACCGCGAAAATTGGTGCCGTTGTCTGACCAAATGCACTTTGGTACACCACGGCGAGACATAAACTGCTTTAACACGAGTAGAAACGAATCTGTTGACAATGAATGTGCTATCTCGATGTGGACTGCTCTGATAGTCAAACACGTAAAAACCACGCCCCAGCGCTTTTCTCTCCACCTGCTAACTACAATTTCAATTGGCCCGAAAAAACCCACGCCACTATTTGTAAAAGGTCTCTCGTATGCTGCAAGTCTCCCCGCTGGAATGTTTCCCATTTCCGGGGCGCTTGGATGCGCTTTACGGTTTCGGCATAGTTGACAGCTTTTCGCTGTTGCTCTGACTAAGGCTCTCAAACCTTGCACCCAATACCGCTGCCTCATTTCATTTATTATAATTTCGTTGTGATGGTGGTGGAACTTTCGATGGTAAAAGTCGGTAATAAGAGACGTCACACGATGGAGACGTGGCAATATGATTGGTCTTCGAGTGTCCCAGGTTGCGTATTTCATTGCATCTATCCTACCTCTAACTCTGAGAAGGCCTTCTGCATCCAAATATGGCGAGTACTTGTAAATCCTACTGTTTTTTGAAACCGCTTTCCCTTCTCTGAGAAGTTGCAATTCTTCGCCAAATGCCTCTTCTTGGCAAATGCGAATAATTACACATTCCGCACATGCCACGGTACTCATATTAAACAGTGTGTTGATTTTTAGTACGTTTGTCTGTTTTGTCACGCTGTGAAGAAAATTCAGCACATAGCTTTGTGCATTCCTTAGTTTTTCCCATTTGCTAAACCGATCAGGATTCACGCTTATCACAGACAACAATGATTTTACAGGCGTGTGCAGTGCGACATGGCAAACTAGCTCGTGATCTTGCTCTTGATCATAGTCCATATTGGTTTGTGGCCAATTCATTTCCGGCTGAGACAAAAACGTAGGCCCCACATACCAACGCACCGCTCCATCAAATTCTGGCTTCGGTGACCTTTTGGTACCTTCATCAGCGACATTATCTCCCGATGGCACCCACCGCCATTCATCGATACTGGAGTCTTCTAAGATCTCACCTACCCGCACCGCCACAAACTGATGAAATTTTCTGGCGTCTGATTTTATCCAATATAGGACATTTTTGGAATCGGTCCAAAATACTCGCTTTTCTATACAAATGGACAACTCTGTAGCAATAAACTTTGACAGTCGCAAACCTAGTATCGCACCCATTAACTCCAATCTAGGGATCGATACTGGCTTAAGTGGCGCAACTCGGGTTTTGGACGCAACCAAGCAACAATCAACATCAGCATTTTTCTCTGCGCGGAGGTAGACGACGGCCGCATAAGCATCTACGCTGGCGTCCACAAATGTGTGTAGCTGGACTCGTTCGCCATGACTTACTAACGGATAACACCGAGGCACCTTAATATCAGTGATGGCAGGCAGGCGTCGTATCCACTGCCACCATTTCTCCTGCTCTTCTTTACCTATTGGTTCGTCCCACGAGACGCCCGAACGCCATACCTCCTGCATTAAAATTTTCGCAGAGATGAGGTAGAAACCCAACAATCCTAACGGGTCAAATACAGTCATTATAACACGTAACATTTGGCGCTTCGTTGGGATGTTGATTTCATTATAAACTTGTTTCGGGAAATGTTCGAAAAACGTCAACACATCCGCCATCAGTGACCACCACATACCTAGTACCTTCTCGTGTTTTAAATTTGGTTCTTCGATATACTTGTTGTTCTGCTCTGACTGCCCTGTCAAGGCCACCAAAACTTTCGTGGAGTTTGATATCCAGTTTCGCATTTCAAACCCTCCATCGGCGTGAATGTGGCGAACTGTTGTAGCTAATTTGATCATCTCGTCTTCAGTTTGCATGCTTTGTAGCCAGTCGTCTACAAAGGTATTATCCAAAATCGTTTTAACGGCATATGGATGATGAACTTCGAAACGAGAAGTATTTTTATTCTTGACATAATTAGCTATTGATGGAGAGCAAGTTGCACCAAACGTCGTAACTTGCATGACATATACATTCGGTTCCTTTGATGTTTCACCATTCCGCCATAAAAACTTTTGAACAGTTTGATCCTCCTGCCTGACACGTATTTGGTGAAACATCTCACGGATGTCGCCGCACAAAGCTATTGGATTTTCACGAAAGCAGACCAGAATACCTACCATTGATTTCAATAGGTCTGGACGTTTTAGGAGTACAGAATTTAAAGCAACCTTATCAACCGCAGCCGCAGCATCCCACACCAACCTAGTTTTGTTTTTGTTGGGGTTGGTTACGGTGAAAATTGGTATATACCAGGATTTGGGACCAGCCAGCACTTCATCTTTACGTACTTTTCGCACATAACCCTTCTGTTCGCATTGCTGAATGGTGTCTACCAGAAATGTTTTTAAGCTAGGATCACGTGCTATCCTTTTCTCAAGGCACTGAAGACGGCGCTTAGCCATAGGTAAGGACTCAGGCAGCTGGATCTGGTCATACTTCCAGAGAAGACCGGTTTCCCATCGCTTTTCGCTTGGAAGATATTTTGTAGTTGAATTCATTATACGCTGCGAACGCTCATCTTCCTTAGAAACTAAAGGGGATACGTCTTTCACGCCGATCGATTCTACCGTATAGTGTGACTTGACTAACTCCTCAATGCGGCTATCTACACTGCATGTGCAAATATGCATCACACGTTGGCGTGAGGCTTCGTTTACGTCGTTACGTCCATAGACGGACCACCCTATTTTACATTTCGCTGCTACTAGGTCGTCGCCATCTTTATCACGAGTTTGCAAAGGAACACCAAGCTTAATGTTATCGAGGCCGATAAAAATACGCGCCTGGGCTGCTACATATGGATGAATTGGTAATTTTCTCAAATGCTCTCGATATGATATGGCAGCGCTCTCAAGTGTCTGAATGGGCAAATTGAGATTGGTTACAGTGCGTACATTTTTTATTAAGTATTTCTTTGAACCTGAACTTCGAGCTGAAATATGCAGCGAAACAGATTTTGAATTCGCCTCGTTTTGTGTAACCTCACCTGTCCACTGAAGGCAGAGGTCTTCTGTCGGTCCGTCGAGACCAAGTTCAGCTGCCAACCCGTCTTCGACAAGAGTGCACGCTGACCCTTCGTCAATGAACGCGTATGCTTCTATTGACCCCGTTTTACCATGAAGTGTCACGGCTATATAGCGGAAAATCGTGCTTTTATTTTCCTTGGCATGAAATAAAACGGTGGTATTACGAGCAAGATCATCTACGCCTTCAGATATTGCCAAGGATCTCATATTACCTTGCGTGGGTGCGTGAGGCAGTGGATTGTGGGGCATTTTGCAGCCATCAACGGAACATGTCTTTTTAGAGTTGCAGCGTCGCACGAAGTGCCCTTTGAAACACCTTATACATAATTTTTTCTCACGGACGAATTTCCACCTCATGTCTCCATTCAACGCTTTGAATTCGACACAGTCTGACAGACAATGTTGCTTAGAACATTTTGGACAGCTTTCTCCTTCACTGCGGCGAACGTCGTGAAGCATAACCCGTTCTCCGGATAATTTACGATGTCCCTTTCTTTCCTCACTAGCAGAAAGTGTGGCATTGCTATGCCCTATAGGTGTAACTTGGCTGGCGCAGGTGGCAAGTTGGAAAAGCCAGTTGTCAAATATTGCTATATCAACTCGTGCAAGCGTCATTCGGTGCTTGCCCAAATCCAATCTAAGATCGCTTGGAAGCTTATAGAGCAAATCGTTTAATAGCATGGGATCATTCAAGTAGTCCTGAAGCCCAATAGCTTGCATTGTGGCCCTATAATTTTGCACGGCCAATGCAAAGTTTACCAGCGATTCCAACTTTTCCATTTTGACCATAGGTTGTTGCCTTAATTTCTTCTGAAGGGTGTGGTGGATGACGTCGGGTCGACCATACAACATGCGTAGCGTTGCAATGGCAAATGACACCGTGCTAGGCATCATCAGCTTTCCCCTAACAGCTGGACCCTTTAAGCATTTTTGCAGGCGAATTAAATTTTCCTGGTCTGTAAAACCACACCTTTCGGTCGACTGCTCGAAATTGGTAATGAAGAGCGGCCAATCTTCGGGATTGCCAGAAAATACAGGCAAATCCTTGGACATTACGTGACGCGCGGCGATTTGTGATGAAGACAAAGTTAAATCCGCTACCGAATTTTGCAGAAAAGGAAAACTTGAACTAGTATGATGTAATGACGTCATTGGCTAGGTAAAACTGACGGCATTATTGTTTGCGACTGAATTTGTTGTGCCCGTTGATGGAAAATAGCTCGGACGCTGACCTTGAATGGCGGCAGACGGAGCAAGATTGGGTGCAGATACGTTAGAAAATACGTTGTTAGAAGAAGGGATAGTACTATGAAATATTTGATTGTTATAGGTAAGGGCGCTACTTGTGGCGCACTTGTTGTGAACGTGTTAGCATGTTGAACCGTGTCTCGGCTAGTACCAACGCGGCACATAGGGGGATTTGAACGATTTAGGCGGCCAAAAACCAATTTGATAAAATTTTAGAGAAAACTTAAAAAATTAGTCACATTCGATTGGGAACATTCCAAATAACATTTCCCAGCCCTCCTCACTTTTCTAACTTGCACAGCGAACGCTCCCCGTTGACCGGAAACAGAATATTCTAACGCTGCTTATAAATAAATTTTCGCTCTCTAGAAAGATCGTGACGGTTTTAAGTTAATATTTTGACTACTGCAGTATATTCTTAAAAAGTAGTGATGGCTCCGCATACAGACCGTAATAATGCATTTCAGCGTAAATATTTTTTAATAATTTTATTAAGCAAAAGTTCAATTTAAATGTAACGAAAATAGCGGTTTTCAACGAGTTATTTTTGTTAATTTTTGTGAATATTAAGGAATTTGTTGTATCCCCGGGAGAGATCGCGTTATTATTCTTTGTTCAATTTAAAGCTTAGAAATTTGGCTAATATAGTGTGAAAAGACTGCCCGCAGAAAATGGCAGATAAGTGGTATTTCTTAATTTAGAAAATGTATTAAGGAAAAATCTAAAAACACGACTAGTATATAGTAACACTACTTTAGATCTATTTTAACACTAAAATTAAACTTTTTAGATGAATTTGAGGCCGCTGAACTAGAATATGAATCCATTTAATTTAACAAATAAATAGTTTTCGAGATATTAGCAAAAGTCATGTTTTCTTGGACCTTTCGGTCCTGTTGCTACAAATCTGCGGGAATATAAGGCGAACCCAACTATGTNTTCTCACTTGGCTATTTTTAGTAATAGCTCGACTTCAGCACCACTTGGCAGCACGTTTTTGCAATAGTATTGCATACATATTAAAGGCCTGCAAATGTTGAACTATAAAACATAGCGACATGTGTCGCATCATGCAAGTGCCAGTTCATGTCATGTCGCTCATACATGTTTGACTATGGCATATGAAGGCACTGTCGAATAAATTGAATTCAAATCAGGTCGCACATATGAACATGTCAACACAAGCGACACATGCGACACATGCGACACATGCGACATAGGCAGCATTATTAATTACATTGTATATACGTGAAGAGATTTTTAAAGCTGCTATTATAATAAAATTCATAAAACAATTGTCTAATTAAAAATTAAGACTGATTAAATATTGAAAGTGGCATATATTCTACCGCTAAAAAATGTTCAAAAAANCTTAAACCATTTGAGGAAGTTTCGAAGCTTTTGGAAGGAGAAAAATATCCCACAATTCATCATGTTTATCCTCAAATAAGAAAACTTAAAAAAGTAGCCGTAATAAACGACAAAATTGATTCAGAAACTGCTAAAAAATTTAAGGAGAAAATTGTACATTATATCCAATCTGTGATTGATGAAAACATAAAGGACTTTCATAAAATTGCGCTCTTTTTATTTCCACCGGCGAACAAACTGCTATATTTTTCGGAGAGTGAGAAAAGAAGTATTCATGAACAATGCATAAAAATGTTAGAAACATACAAAAATACATCGGTTATCTTAGACACCACAATGAACTCTGTAAATTCTGAGGATGATCCTTTTAACGATTTTGTACAAGCTGTATTTGCACCCGAATACGATGACCAAGTGCACAATGAAATCGTGAGATATTAAAGTCAGACAATTTTATACCACAAAGAATTTCAACCACTGGAGTGGTGGAAAGCCCATAAAAACGAATATCCTTTGCTTTTCAAATTAAGTGGTTTTGTATTAGCGACACCAGCTAGCTCCGCTGCATCAGAAAGGCTCTTTTCAAAAGCTCGACATTTGCTATCTGAAAAAAGGTCAGTTCTCGGAAAAAACGCAATAAGTGTTAATCAAATTATGTTTTTGCAAAGTAACTTCGATTTTAATGCATTGTATACTATAAATTCAAATGATGAGTAAAGCAGGATTTTAACCGTTAATTGTTTTACTGGAAATGTGAATTGTTTCGTTAAGGTTATTTGAATTTGAATAAAAAAATGTTTTCTTTGTATTATATGGAGTATATAAAAAAGTTTAATTTCAGATTTCAAAGTTAGCTTTTTTAATCAATTATTTATTTGATTTTATATTAAACATTTATTAAAACCATACAAGGCAGAATGAAACAGTAATAAAAATATGCCGCAGAAATACAACAGCGAACAACAGCTTAGCTAAGTTGCAATGACATGCTACAACAGTATGTTTGATATGGAATGACATGACACAACACATTGTTTGTATTGATATGACATAGCAATGCACGAAATTTTTGAAAACGACATTTTTACAGAAAATGTTGAACTTTGCAGTACTTTATTATATATTTCGGAATAAACATTTGTTTTCCTTTACATTGGTGTTATATAAGTGATGATTAAAGAAATAGTTTTGGGTATACAAGCGTTTAAATTAAAATAAATCTACGATATTTCAGTAAATATTGTATCCAAATTGTTAAAAATTAGTATGTAAACTAAAATTTTGGAACAAAATAGGATTATTATTAAAGTTTTAGAAAATGGGTGTGGCCCCGCCCACTTATGATGAAATGCTGTATATCAGTATCCACTTCACTAATCCGTACCAAACTCGGTATGAGCCTTGCCTAGGCTATATCTAACATAACTGCTAAAAATTCTTGAAATCGGGCGATAACCACGCCCACTTCCCATATAACGGTGATTTACAGAAACGCGAAAACTGCGATAAATCAATAACTACTGAAGCTAATTCACTCTAAATCGATTCTTGGAATAACCTCTTAGCATTAATGAAAATTATAAATTTTTGGGTAATGGGCGTGGCGCCGCGCACTTTTGACCACAAATGTATATCTCGGTAACCGATTTATCAATTTGTACCAAACTCGGTGCACTTGGTATGGAAAAGCAATGCGTTGAAAATACGAAAACTCCGATATTTCAGTAATTTAGGACGCTAATTTACTCCAAGTAAATTCTCTTAACAATAAATAAGACTGTTATTATTACAAAAATGTAGTTTTATTACAATGGGTGCGTTCGAGTTACGTAATAATTACCGCAATATTGCAGACTTATTGCTTTCCTGATGACATGTTGCTGAAGCTCAACTTCAACTTTTCTAAAATGTTGCAGAAATTGCGCAGTAAAAATGTTTATGTTGCTTTTGATTTGCCAATGATGAGTAACTGATTGTCAAAATTTTATTCGTCCAAATTTTCGCGTAGAACGTGATACTCTTTCATAAAAGAGTAACACTGCCGCATTAATTGCACCTCGAATACACCCATTTCTTACCTATCCTGTGGTACATATTTGAATTATTTAATTCCTTCAATTAAAGCTGAATTTTATTTTTTAAACCCTGGAAGGTTCCTTAGAGATAAAGCCTTTTCAAACCCATTTTCATTGATACCCATATTGCAGCAATTCATATAACAAATTGAACAACATTTTTTAACAGGTGGCAACTCTGTTAATGTTTTAACCTACTTGATTTTAAACATTTACAATTCTATATGTCATAACACGTCTTTTCTAAACATTTTGAGTTGAAATATTCATAAAAATAATTTTGGCCGCATAAATCGGCTAAATACCCCTATGTGCGCGGGTAGCAGTGTCGTAATAATTATGCATTGTGGGCTGGTGACTAGCCCCAAATGTAAACATACCAGACGAGGGAGGTGCATAGAAATTATAGGGCGTACCCTGTAAACCAGTATTCACAACATTGTTTTCAAGGCCAATCCTAGAAAATTGCACACTCAGGTTTTGAGAGCTGTTGGCACAGGTTCTTGAGAAAGCATTCGAGCTGACCGGGGCAGTGGGTGCAGAGGAGCGCCAGGTTACTTGTGGAGCTCTTTCTTCACTAGCATTGGTACTTGCAGAGGTGGTCCGAGCAATACGAGAACGTTTGTGGGGGTTTGCCAGACGCAAAATACCAGAGCGCGTACGAGGTGGTGATATATCAGGGGGTAAATTCTGTTTTTGCTCAATGGATGACAAAGTGTTACCTGTCGAAGGGCGTGGCGTTGAAGCAATGACGCGCTGAGAAGTACCGGAGGACAAATTATCTACCATAACTACATGCGCATCTGTTAGAACGTGTGCCTCTGGTGGCGCGCTGCCTGCTGCTGATGCTGGGGCGCCGATCGGGGCATTTGTGGTAGAAGCAGTCGTGTTGTCTCTTTCCAAAGTAGCGCTAGCTGGCCGAATTGCTGTATTAGCCGATGATTGCTCTTCGTCCGCCATTTTAATTACCACTTGTAAGTTATAAGTAACGGCACGGTGCGATTGCAGCTTTCGAGACTCCAATTGCCAAATTTGTAGGTTATGTACTCCACGTGACGATTGCACCTTTTCACCTGCAGAACTTCCAATTGCAGCAGAACTCCTAAGTCGTTGCCAGAAGCCAAAGTATGTTGGTTTCACGAAAGCATTTAAGAGCCAAAGTATTTTAGATTGTTACGTCGGGTGCAAAATAAAAAAACCGTACTTTCAGTGTGTTGAGAATTACCTAAAATCTGTAAATTTATTAAGCATTCGTTTACAAATTGTTATAATTATAAGGCAAATGATCTGAGTCTTACACTTGTATTTAGCTTAACACCCGATCGCTTGTAAGATTTCAATATTTAGTATTTTAAGTTTAATTTAATAAAATATATTCAAGAAAAAGAAAGACAGCCGAACTTTTCTTCTGTTTGCCGCAACTGCAAATTGAACGTGTTGAAAAGTACGAGTAATCAA